GTGTAAGAGACTGAAATGTAAAACAACACATCAATTGGAGAGACCTCCTCCTCCCACTGTAAATAATCTTTCAAGTACCAATTANATCATGGTGGAACACAAACTTGAACAAAATTAGTGTTCAGTAACTAGTTACCAACTGTTAGACGATTCATTCTGCATTTATTATTATTATTATTATTATTATTATTTATTATTATTATTATTGGTAAGGGAAGGTAAGCCAGCTGTTGTTAAGGCATCCAGTTGTGTATAAATCAGACACTTCCTTTCTTGTTTTCTCAATTCCTCTCATAATAAAGTGTAAGAGACTGAAATGTAAAACAACACATCAATTGGAGAGACCTCCTCCTCCCACTGTAAATAATCTTTCAAGTACCAATTAATATATTCTATACAAAGGGACTGGAAAATTAATCTTCGTGATGGATATGGAAGACAGGCACCTGTCAGTCAGCAAGAACAGCCATTTTATTGTTAACTCAGATACTTAATAGGAAACTAGAATCTCCGGACAAATGTTACACATTATATTGGCAATAAGAAATGCTTTTTAAAAAATATTTCACATTGAATGGCACCTTCACTTGTGTTCTTAACAAATGACTGCATGAGATATTTCTGGTTTGAAATTGACCCTTAGTCTTTAAAGCAGAGTTCTGATCTATAGACTAAAGGATAAAAGCCTAAGATTGCTTTCATGCTTATTTAATCATGTGAGTGTTTTTCTTTCAATGTCAAAATGGCATTTAGATTATAAATGAATTCATTTGTTCTATAAAAGACTGTAGTTATGCTTTGTTATAAATGTGAGATACTTTCATTTATGTTTTTCTATGATGAAATCTGAACTTTGGGAAGGATCATAAATTTGGGGAAAGATCAAAGTTGCAATTCAAGTTAAAATATTTTATCATAATCTTTTTTCGTAAGTTAATATTAATTGTATTGTTACAGAATAAAAATTATATCAAGGCTATGTGTGATTTTGGATTCTCTTTTCAATTAAATTTATATAAAGTGGGAATCTCAATAGCATTTTGGAAAATGTGTGGGTTATCAAAAGTTTGTTATCAAACTAAATATTGGCATTGCTATATATTACCAGTGTGAAATTATTTCATCTTCGGTAAAAAGAGGCTAATTGTACTTCCTTCGTATTCTTGTTGTAAGGATGACAGATGCTTCATGTAAGTTTGTATGTGAAAATTCTAGTAACTTGCCTGGTATGCGTGCTCAAAAAATAGAAGATTCCACTATTAATTACTATTGTTTTACTAGTGCTATCCCTCATATCAAACATAAATAATGTAATCAGTTATATAAAGTACCACACAATTGGATATTTTTAATCATTTACTACATTTTTTCTGCAATAAAAATTAAACCTTCCTGTGGAACCTGCAAGAGTGGCGAATGGAAGAGTTTTCAGTAACAGGCCCCTTGATACTTGATATCCAGTCAACTCAGATAGCTGATTACCATCAGCTTTTGTTTTAAAAACAAAACAAAAAAACTACAAACTTCCATATTACATGAACCAAGAGACAGAGATAAAGAGAGAATGCTAGAGTTAAAGGCTTACATTTTTAAAGGGAAGCTGTCGTTATCAAAATACCAGCCTATGTATTTCTAGGGAAAAAACTAAAAGAACAAGAGTAATAATAACATAGTTTAAAAAATCATTTCCTTTCAAAGAATTCCTGAAAACCTTTCACATGCCGTTCTGTGCCAATGTCACTTTAAAACCTAGTGCTCTAATAGTTATTAAGCAAAATGGCCTTAGTTCCATTAACATACTGAAAGTCAAAATTATCTAAATATTACAAAAAAGACCTAAAAGCACTCTTTGGGTTCTTAAATGGCATCAAATTGATTCTGACTTAATCATACTTGAGTGTAAGAAAACTTTTTGTTGGATAAATATTAGCAGGCACAAAAACTTTCTTACGATATTACTATTTAAAATCCTTTATATTTTATTTTTGTGTGTGTGTGTGCCATACTAGCTGCCTTTGGTGTTTTAGTGAGTTTCTGGTTGTTATAGGATCATCACTGTACCCACAGTATGAAAGAACGTATGGAATATGCATATGGCTAACATCAAAATACACTTAGATAGAATGCGCTGTAGTTTAAAAACCTTAACTTCCCATGGAAGTTCATATTAATTGCATGAAGTGGATGTCAGACATGAGAATGTTTGCCATCTTTGGGAGCCATCACTGTGAAGTTTGTGAGAGCAGATGTGTTGTCATGAAGTGTCCCAAGTTGGACCCAGAATCGTTTTCTGATAATGTCAAGAGAAGACATCCTCTGACTACACACCTGTTTACCAGTTAGAAGCACTTTCTCAACAGTTTTCATTCTAATAAAGATTTCCATTGAGAGGCCACGAATTTAGGGTAAGTCTCTTTCTCTGTTGCCAGAGAAACCTGCAGTATTCATTTCTGATTATCTTAAGTCAGGCAAGTTATGTAGTAAATGACTCTGCTATGTATATGAATATAATAATATTTTTCTATACTTCTATTTGATTTCAAACTCAAGTTTCCACTTTGCCAGGTAGAGAAAAATAATCTCAGCCAGTTTAAATTAATTTGGGTCAGGAGTTCCTCTGTCAACTCAAGGATTTATCCCCTCCCCCTTCTTTTTCCTGGGTTGGATTTAAGTTCTGGAGGAGTTGGAGGCAGAGAGTAGCTGGTCTTCTCACCTTCCCATGTTGTTGTGTCCACTGATACACCTGGCCAGTGTTGGTCTATGCCAATGATACTGCACCGTCCCTGCCTTCCTGCCGAGGGGATCTCTCTGCTACACCTGCTCGACTCTTGCCAGCATGGGGAAACATTCTCTAGCCACTTCCACAGGATCACATTTGGCACATACTGGTGTGGGGGACGTCTGGGAGGCTTGTCGACTCTCCAGGTTCTACTTGAGACAAAGGTCCTCTCTGCATTCCAAACCTATCTGAGGCTTTTGTTGGATAATTGACATGGTGTATAGAAACCATATTCAAGGCCACACTAATATCTTAGATATTGCTTCCCCTTGAGTTTTCTTCTTAGCCTGGACAATCTTCATCCTGTAGATGTGTGGAGGCAGGTGGATGGGAGTTTTCTAAATCTACTGTTCAGAACATAAACTTTATGGCCAAAGTCCATAAGCTTATGTTACTCAAAATGCAGACTTTTGAAATCCCCTTTCTTGCAAATCATTGTTGTTTTGATTTCTTTTTTGGAGGCTGACCAGTGCAAGAATCTGAACCCTTGAGACCTTGGTGTTGCAACACCGTGCTCTAACCAACTGAATAACCAGCCAGTCCTGCAAATCCTTGTTTTTGAGCTTTAAGAACAATGTTCTCTTCTCTTACTCAACACTGGTGTTTCTGTTTTAATAACCCTGCTATGAGTTAATGCATGCAATGATCTAGTCTTAATGGTGACAGAGCCATAGGGTTATAAAACCACAACAACAATCAAATAATTACAATGAACAAAAACTGTATGATTAATATATGAAAATAGTAACAACCTATGGCTTTTCTTTCATTGCTTTACCAGATCAAGCCTATTGTTTGAAAAGGATGAAGATGAAGCAGCAGGATATCAGGATTAGAGATTCTTTCTCTCCTTGCTTTACAAATAGAGTAATATTTTAAATAGTCAAATCAAATATGAAATGTTTATTGATAAATAAAATTTCAGAATTTCACTGTCTGTAACTTTTGATTTTTGATTCTGCAGATAAAGGGACTTTAGTTATAGCACATACAATATTAAATAATTATTTTAACAGTTTGAATTTTAGAAAAGTTATCTCAGATAAAGAGGTTAGTAATTATAAAATCGACTAAATGTGAGGTTTACATTGCTTCCTGAGGATAGCTCTTCACTTGAAACTCACCGTGGCTTCCTCTCAGTTTTCCTATAAAATCTAAACAATTCAACACTGCACTTAGTGACAACAGGGACCTGATCTGAACCTGTCTTTCAAGGCTTTGCTTCTGCTCAGTGCCTTCACAGAGGGGCCCTCAAGGCTCACTGACCTTCTGTTTTCCTCTCAAATGATTCTTGAACTTTCCCAACCCCACGAGCTGAGACAGCCTATTCCCTTAACCATTCGGGGCTCCCTCTACCGGGATGAGTGAGCCACTCCTCTCATTCCAGTCATTTTCATTCCAGGCAGGGCTGCCCCAGTCTCTGTCCCTCCTCCAGTCATGAGGAATGTCCAGGCTCCCTATGCCTCTCCCACGGCACTTCTTTAAGGCTAACCTGTATTACGGACATTAACGTAGTAAAAAGAGGACAAAATCCAGAAGGAGAAACTTGGGTTTTTTAATTCTGTTTCAAACATCGTGCAGGGTCATTTAAATTCCCTGAGCGTCAGGGCTGCCTGTGGATTTCATAATTCTCCTTGCACTTTTTCCAGCCTGAGGTTTGTTAGCTAAAGTTTTCAACTCCTTGTATACAGATTGTACTCAGTAATCATTTGCTAAATCAAACAAAATGGCAGACAAGAAACAAAAAGTTTACTGATTAACCCATTGGGATAAATGGGGAAAATAATGGTAATGTTGAGTTATTTTATTTGACTTTTATTGGCAGGGGTAAGAGAGGGGTTGGTCATGGGAACCCTTTTCCTTCTCTTCATCTTAACCAACAATTATAAGTTCCTTCTCTTATATCTACAGAGCAAAAGCTTTAATACCCTTTCTTTGTACAATTAAGGAGCAAAGAAAATGGCTGAAGATTAACTACTAATTCATGTTTCATTTGACAAGATTCTGAATAAACTCAGAAAGCTTTGCCAGATAAATACCAAATCAGATCACTTTATTTCAAAGAAGATGAAAATAACTCAGCTCCTTGACAATCTAAGCCTTTTCAGTATTTCAACATATGGCATTTGGTGTTTTAGCTCCCTGCTACAGCTTCGTGTTATATTATGCTTTCACATTGGTGAAGATTATCTATTTCAAAGAAGACAAAAGATAGGCTTACCTCCATCTTTCTTATCCCATCACATCTGCTATTCAATTATGTGTTCTTTGCTTGTGGGTACCTGAAATAGTGAGAAAGAATAGAAAAAGAAAATTAAATATATCTCAACAGCATTTTGTGAAAGGCAAATATTTACAATTTTAATTGATGACAGACAACACACTTCATAAAACTATTAGCATGCAACTCCAGCTGCAAAAACTGAACAGCAATATGTCTAAGCTGGTTAGCAGCAAAAAAGTAAACCAATCACATCGACAAAAAGCCACCATAAACAAAAAAACTGTATTTAAAAGATTAACAGTTTTGGCATTCATCCCTACCATCAAGTCTTTCACTTTCTTTTTTGCATCAAAATTTAGCTTACGTTTGATGTTAGCAAGAGTTGCATTACTATTATTGTTAATTTTAGTTCTGTTTATTACCTTGAGGGTTATATATTGTAAAATAATTTTGGTGCCTCTAGTTAATGTTAATTAGTTGTTTTAATAACCTATAGACCTATTTGTTATGTTTTTGTAGGTTTACTTTTTTAACTATCAGGAACTTAATAACTGAGAATATTTAACATTACTGTTGCATAGGCAAAATTACAGAGTTACTATTAGTGTTACCTGTTTAACGTTTAGTCATCCTTTGAGTCCTGCGACATATTTCCTTAATAATCATCAGCCATCAAGTCTGATAGTCTCAAAAGAAATATCAGCCCTCTAAACTGCCTTCAAGGGCGGTGATATTTAGCACTGAAAATTACAAATAAAGTTTTTGAGGTTGAATAGCAACAACTGGCCAGTGACACTAATGATTTGTTTGTCAAAACAAATTGTTATAAACTACGCAAATGAAGTCCACGCACTCCTTTGAGTGAAAACAATAAAGTGAATCTACGCAATGCTTACATGTTGAATGGGATATTTAATGTGCGGGGAAACTCAAAGGTTGAAGAACTAGGCATTTAGACAGTGGTAAGTGGTAATCTTACCTCTTTATACTCCATTACTCTTTCTCACGAGAGACATGCTAATGCAAACAAGTCAATCAGAATTTGTGTTTAGCAAGATAAAGCTTAGAGGATAGTTTAAAATCCATTTATTAGTCTAAATCCATTTTTTTCCATTAACATGTTGTACATTAGTGTTCACTAACCATGATTCATGTAACAGTTTAGTTTGTTAACTTTTAAATTATTTAACAAACATAAGTTATTAATACATTTTTAAGTATTACACAAATATCTTAAAACAGGCTTGGGTTCATTTTTGTAATTTTTAAATAGAAAACATTTTAGGCATGTCTTGAAGAAGAAATAAAGCAGGCATTTAAAGCTAGAAAACAAGTAATTCCAAATTTAGTTTTTACAAAAGTTTTCAGCTTTATTGACAAATTATGGCAAACATATTTGACAAATTGTGGTTTCCTATTTAGAGAAGCTTACACATGGAACTTTATGTGTGTGTTTTTTTCTTTTTTAACAAATAACAGGTTAAAACACTGAACAAATTCAGTTAGCTACATACATACGGTAGCTGCTTATTTTCAACCCCATTAAAACAGCATTTAAAATTAAATTTACAAACTTAATATCGAACATCTTCATCTAACTAACAGATATTAAAAGACAGGTTAAAACATCTTATCTACAACTTTATTATCAGCTAGTTCAAAAATCATATTACAGTCTTTTAGCAACCCTAAACAAAGTTTCTGCTAGTTGGTTTGGACTCAAAATCTGTTAACAGATTCATGCTCTTTCTTAAAAAAAAAAGAAAGAAAAAGGAAAAAGAAAAGAAAAGATTACACACAACAATGAAAAACAACCAAGAGATTATCATCCTACTGAATGATTTATAGACTAGGCTTGCCAATGTCATTTTCAGTCTGTTTTGTAAAATAATACTAGTGTCAATATCACGCCAACAATATAGAGGGAAATACAAGAAATATATGGGAGTAATTATGAGCAATTATCCCTAGAATAGAAAAAAACAAACAAACAGAAAGACTATTACTTGTCTTGTTGCTGTTTATGTGGAGACCACAGGCTATGAATTGTCTTTGAGGTGAGGTCACAGGTGAGAAGGACCTTCAATATCTACCATAGGGGTGCTCCCTGTATCCCCCTCTGGCTGACCTTGGCGGTGGTGCCTTCAAGCTGGAGCGGGTTGTGGCCCATTCTTCTGGTGCTATGAACAAGAGAAAGACAGTAGCACACACATGACTTCACGGTCATCAAAAACAGTCACATAGGACACAATAGTGGGTCGGGAAAAAGAGAATTAAAAATCTCAACACTAAAAGCTAAAGCTTTACACTACTTTTTCCACATGGTAAGACTATCCAGAGAGAGAGAGAGAGAGTGTGTGGTGTGTGTGTGTGTGTGTGTGTGTGTGTGTGTACACATATATATGTATGCAGCCACTTGGAATTAAACTTTTGGGGTAATTTTCCAAGAGGAGAAAGTTAGACCTTGGATAACTGCACATTTATCGTGAGTTAGATTTCAATGCCACAAAATAGAAGAGTATCAGTGTAAACCACTCCTCATTTAATCCTTTTATACAGAATGCTAAAAAAGTTGAATACAATAAGTCACTGGTTATTAGCGCTTGATTAACTTGAGAATCACCTGGGAATCTCAAACAAACAAGCAAAATGAAAAATAACTAATGCCTGTTTTCTGTCCCTCAAACCAACTGATTAGAAAACTCTGTGAGGTAGGACATAGAGTTTTGTTTTTTTTT